TTCTAAATAGAAATGTGCTTTTAGCTCCACCGCCCCATTAAACAGCTACATAATATTTGAAGAAGCAAAAAAACTCGCGAAAACCAGGTGTCACTAAAATCATAACAAGCCAACCATTCTTCTTCAAGGCCACAACTGCCGACTTTTTGACTGCATGCAGCTACTGGAAGAGCTTCCTATAGAAAGCTATATCTTGTACATTCAAGTGCAACAAGCGTATTCCCCTACAAACATTTTTTTAGAATCCTTGGCAAGCACAAGCCCGGCAAGCGGCCGCAAACCCGGCAAGCACAAGCCACACGAACATCGACATCTTCCACGCTGGCACCGCTATGCTTCTTTACATAACAAAAAAAAATATGTGACTCCCTCTGTGGAAAGGCACTGACAGTTCAATGCTCTCCCAGACAACGCTCAAATCCAATTTCCCCACTCTTCCATAGGTTGCAATGTTACACCATCAGGCTAGTGAAATTGTGCAGAAGAATGCATTTTCATGTCGAGATTCCACCTACGCTGTCGTGTAAAAGCCATTCAAATGCACAGCATGTCCACATTTTAACACTTATACTCTGTTCGAAACAATCTAGCTGGCAATCACAGTAATGCATGGTACGGGTTCGTCCCAAATGCAGCACCTAGCCGCTAATGAAGGCCAATGCAGGGGGAAAACATTTTCAATAAACCTGGCTTCGCATTCATGCCTGCATTTAAGTCGGGTGGCTCTTTGTATTAAATATGTATGCACCATCTCTTTAGTAGCACCAAGCTACAAACGATGTAAAATACTAGCAGGATGCTAGGTGAAAAAAAAAATAAGAAATCATGCTGCACTAGCAGTCAGATGCGATTCTTTCGCTGGATGGATTGGTGGGTACCATTCAAATGTCATTTAGAAACTACCTCTGCGCACAAAGCACCCGACACAAATAAATGTCCAGAACTCTTGAGCTGAATAACTTCCAAAACCAAGAGGATGCAGGATGTGTCAAAAGCGACAAAAAAAGAAAAGAAACGAAAGCGACGTTAGCTGTCAAATCGCAGATAACACGGAAGCACACTGCAACTGTTGCTACGCAGCGGCGACAAGCGCAGATGCGGGGCATGTGCTTTAACAGCTGCGCGATATTTGGAGAGCGAAATACGCCAGGAATATCAACAACAGAGCATGTGACGGTGACTCATCCGATGCGTTCGATGGCCGTAAAACTCTCACTTATGAACAAAAGGCTAGCTCACATTAGCCCCTGAGAGTATTAGTCATTAAGTCTACCGCACACAAAGAAACGGTTGCACCAATCCACTCAGTTGCATCGGCGATGTCAGAGGTGTTGCACAGCACTTGACGCAAGAACCAGCAAGGCCACAAAAAAATAATAAAAAAAGATGGAGAAATCAAAAAGCGTGTTGTAACAAGCTCACGTTCGGAGGAGTCGACGGCGCCACCAACAGCCTTGATATCTGAAACAAAGGGGGGAAAAAACAGTTGTTTGTAAAAGCGATAACACGGGATATCGCAAAAGAGAAAGCAACAGATGCAAGCGTCAAGAGGGCAACACTCGAAAACGGCGCGAAACGCCAGGCAGCGTTCGGGAGTGAACAATCGAAACACTGAATGCAAAAGCCTTTCGAGCGAAGTTATCAAATTCTCGAAGCGGAGCGAAATTCGGAAAAGCACACAATGGAACGAAAACGCAAACACTAACAAACGCTGCAAGGCTTTCGCAAGAGCTTCACTTGGTATTTTTCATAAAATAACGGTCCCAAAATATATCTCCCGCCACAGAGGCCATGCAGCCCGCCACTCCCTCCGTTGTTTGATTTCACTTTCACACGCACAAAAACCTCCTCGCACAGCCAAAAAAGCTACGAAATATCTACGTGTGCTAAGCCGAAGAAACAAAACACGACTTTGAGCGCTTATCTGACGGGCGCCGAACGGTTGACATTCGAATATTCACGAGCAGCTGTCGCACTACCGAGCTAGCTAACGAAAACAAAGCGTTTACATTGTAGCGGTAGGCTTAGGAAGTTTTTCGCGCATAAAGCCAGTCGGTGGACAGCGCGAGATTGACACGCGTTGCGCGAACGCTCAAATGTGGGGACTTCACCTGCGGTCTCCATCGTCGGTGTGTTTTTCGAGCACGAATGCAATGCGCAGGATATATCACGAAAGGTGCGAACGGTCCGAAGTTGACAACGATTTTATACGAGCCGCCGCGCTAACTCGTCACTGGCGTCTATGACAGTTGTCAAGACTCGGGAGGCTCGGGATTGGACGAAGCGAGCGAGATTGGTAGCGCCGCCTAGTAGCGTTTTAGAGTTTCAGTTTCGTTATTGAAACAAACGGGAACTGCGGCCTATACACGAATTTATTTTACGAACAGCTGCTCATTAAATGAACACGCCATTTTGAGCAAGTTTTCACGAAACCGGCAGACATATTTTTGCCTCAAGTTATTTGTATCCTGGAAAGTTAATTAACAAAATTGACACTGTCAGAACAACATGTGGTCTGAAATCCTGTCCTCCCGCAACACAGAAGCGCCAAATACAATACGAAACGTGGAAACAACGTTTAACGATGCATACGCAGTGAAAATGTGCGGTGGACTTGAAAATTGCAGTAAAGCAAGAAATGAAGCATTGTTCAATGTTCGTATTAATGTGAAAGAAGGCGGCGTTTCTTATTATTAATTTTTTAAACATAACCATTAGAGCTTTGTTCAGGCCCCGTAGCCCGACTGCTACTGCCCCTGCTTGCCTTTTGGCACTGAAGTCCACAGGCCCTAGGCTGCAGTTCAAGACGGGATGACTGCGGTCCTCTCCCACGGGAAAGCAACGCCAGGAGGCCCCGGATGGTTGAAGTCTTCGTGGCTCAGGTCCTCAACCCGACGGCCCATCTTCAGCGCCCGGTCCAGTAACCCCTTTCCGTTCGTATCGTTCTTCTCAAACTCTCTGCTTTCTCCAGCCCTGGCTTTGCCTGCCCTCGGGCACACTTGTCCACTCCTGATTGGACATGTCGGAACTTCGTGGTCGTTGACCATTGAATCTTCTTTCTTTTGTTGGTAGGTTGGTTGACGCTTAGAAAGCTAGCGCAATCTACCGTGCGGGATCGGCCATGAAATGGTTGGCTGGTTGGATCCTCAACAGATTGACGCCGCCAACTTTTGGGTATAGGCCATGAATCGGGTGGTTTTCTTATTGAACTATTTCACATATTGATGAAAAGGGCTTAAAATGAATTCGCTAGCCATTACAAGTAATAATTTAAACTTGTAAGTATTCAAAAAAGAAAAACTTGTAAAGAAATAACATGAAAAAACACACACAAAAAATAAAACACGTTTGTACACAAAACATCTCAATTAAGCAACCCCTATCATTCAATTCTTTTAGACTGTCGTAAAAAAATTCGATACAGCATTGAAAAGGCTCCTGTGGCTAATACCGAATAAGATTTCGCCAGATGAAAAAAAAAATCTGTGGAATAAGCGACAAATATAAGACCAATTTTGTAGGGTTTTTTCTAATAGTCTTTTCCTTTGTATTTTAAATCTTCGGCACATCGAGAAAAAATGCTCCAGAGATTCGCTCTCATCACAGCTGCTAAGGCATAACGGCGACTGGGCCACACCTGATCTGTGAAGGTAAAAGTTCAGTGAAGGGACTTGACAGCGCAGCCTTATAATTCCTCCTTTCTGAGGTGAACACCACCTGTTCTGCCAATGGAACTTTACCTGTGTGAAATGTGATCGAAACGAAGGAGATTGGGTGGTGCACGCGACACCACGCGTGTTCACTGTCTTCGTGTGGCGGCCTATTCAAACACGCACGTTAAAGGACGCACGCCACTTACCACAGCAGCAACCTCAGGACTTCCTCATACTATGGTAATAGAATGGCACTAAACCAGTCCTGTCGCCCGTACTCATAACAACCTCAGGGCATCTTCAACACGGCACCACAGAGTTTTTTTCGGTGTGTCTTCAGAACAACCACTGTGCGGCTGGTTCAGTACTGAAGGTTCATATTATTTGACAGAAATTCGTTTATTTTAACATTGATTAATAACAACTGGTTTTGAGCGCAGCTTTAACAAGCAGCAACCGAGTCCAAGTCGTCTGAAAAGAAAGCAATATCAAAACAGTCAACGCAACAATCTAGTGTTGTAGCAATACGTTGCAACTGAAGCTAGATTGAGAAAAAAGAGGCAAACCAATAGAGCTATAACAAGTGAAACTACGAATAAAAAATGCACCATCTGGAGTTGCGAATCGAACCCGGACCTTTTAAGTGGGAAGCGGGCATTCTATCAGGGGGCCACTTTGGTGGAGCCTTACGACACATTGCAGACCACCGACCACAGCGCCACGAGCGAATTTACCTTGTTTGTGCTCGCTTTCTGAGCATTGGTGCGGCCGTTCTGGGCACTCTTATCTTCTAGTACACTCTAGAATAACGGAGAGCTGAGCTGTAGTTGGTACGTGTTCATTCTTACCAGAAGGAAGTCGGGACACCTACAACAACCGAAGGTGCGCACAACGGCGGAAAAGAAAGAAGGCACGAAAGCTTACCTGCACATGCCCATGCAATATGCGAACATAACAATCTGTCACGCCTGCAGGTCTGCGTCAAAGATAACTGTCGAGGTACTTGGTTTCAACTTTATCCAAGTTAATCGACGATTGGCTCACGCATGCGCTGTTGTTATTACCGATATGTCATGCCTCATCATCAGGCACGTTTCTTCATTCCTGTAGCGCTGGTACAAAACTGTGCATTCGTCGAATTTTGGCATTGATTGATTGATTGATTGATTGATTGATTGATTGATTGATATGTGGCGTTCAACGTCCCAAAACCACCATATGATTATGAGAGACGCCGTAGTGGAGGGCTCCGGAAATTTCGACCACCTGGGGTTCTCTAACGTGCGCCCAAATCTGAGCACACGGGCCTACAACGTTTCCGCCTCCATCGGAACTGCAGCCGCCGCAGCCTGGATTCGATCCCGCGACCTGCGGGTCAGCAGCCGAGTACCTCAGCCACTAGACCACCGTGGCGGGGCGAATTTCGGCATGCACTCATCACCCAGCCATACACAAGTTTCGCTTTCATACTTGCAACAGTGAGGTAACAATACAGTATACTGGCGGCCGAGTGCCTGTGACGCTGCGTTCCCAGGTACCAGAACTGCATGCGTGCCACTTTTGACTCCCGCGGAACGGGGACCAAAGGCAGGCCGCGGTAAGAAGACCGTCATCGCTTCTTTTCGAAAAAAAAATAATATTTCATCCAAGGGAAAGTGTGCTTTCTGTCAGGCTCGACTACCGGAGGGAGGGGTTGGTTGGCTGTGGTGAATCTTGGCCGTCCTTATAGTGGCCAACCGGGCGCAAACCTATAATCCAGGCATCGATCAGCGCAAACAAGAAATCTCATGGAACAAGAAAACGCAAATGAAGTTTGAACAAAAAAAAACTGCCTTCATCTAGAATCTTTGTTCATTCAAACCACTGCGCACACACTAGATAAGAGGTGTGGTAATCTTCCGCCGGTAATGCTGTCTTGCCCCAAGCATGTGATTACAACTTGTTGCCATTCCCCGTTGGGAACAAGGCTCCCGTGTGGAAGCCGGAATGTCATTTAAGAATATATATTTTAGACACTTTGATCAGCGCTCTGTTGTTCTTCGTTCATGTCATTCCCAGGCCAAGCGGGATTCCACCCAAAAAATCTCGACTTCATAAAAAAGAAAAGCGCTACAAAGTGTGCGTCTTGCTACGGCGTGCCAGCGGCTTCGCAGAGAGGTAAGCGAGACAGACGATGATTGCCAAGCAGATCAGAATAACGCAGCCGGCGCAGAAGTCCTGCTTCTCGGCTACCTCGTACGAGACGTCGTCGTGCTTTACCGCTCGCACGACGTCCCGCAACCACGGGTATCTCTGAGGACACGGTCTGCAGCCGACGAGGTGCCGGGCCTCCTTGATGGGCGAGTCCGGAAACGAGCACGTGTGGACTTCCGGACAGCGCTTGAACTCCGACGCCTTCGAGCAGTCGACCTGAACGTACTCGCCGATGGGCTTGGGGTCTTTCATGAAGCGCACCACTTCGGCCACGGTGACAATGAAGACGTCGTCCAGCGTGAGTAGCCAGTCGACGAAGGACAGGTAACCTTGCCTTCGACCCGGAGTCCGAAGCCAGGTTTCGTGGATGAAAACAGGAAACGGAGCCCTGTTGCTGTGGTAGTAGCGCTCGAAGTTGGACCTGCATGCGTGGAAGTGTAAATTCAAATAAAAAAAACAAATCAACAGCAGCTGTTCAAGAATATCTGCAATTACAGTTCCTTGGTTTTCCTGGCTTCATCCTATCATGGTTATCTGCTTATTTAATGCATCGGAAACAGTGTGTTAGCATTGACGTATAACAATCTGACTCTTTCCCGGTAACCTCAGGGGTCCCTCAGGGAAGTGTACTTGGACCACTATTATTCCTTATTTATTGCAACGACATGACAGATGTCATACAAGCCCCAGTAAATATTCGTCTTTTCGCAGACGACTGCGTTGTTTTTAACGAAATCAATAGTGTTGAAGACCGATTCTTGCTTAGTGCAGCCTTAAGCAGTATTTTTAAGTGGAGCAGTAAATGGGGCATGAAGCTAAATTCTTCTAAGTCTGTGCTCCTGCGTATAACTAAAAAAAAAAACAGTACCCCTGATGTTTTCATACTCCATTGACCAAAACCCATTGATTGAAGTTAAGGAGTACAAATATCTTGGAGTTACCATTACTAACAACCTCAACTGGAGCACCCATATTTCTAACACCGCCTCTTCAGCTTTCAGAAAATTATGTCTACTTCGACACAAGCTTAAACATGCATCCAATGACGTGAAAACTTTAGCCTATACAACTTTTATCAGGCCCACGTTAGAATACGCCTTCATTATTTGGGATCCTTTCACCAAAACCAATATTAATTGTCTTGAAAGAATACAGAGAAAAGCCATGCGATTCATTTTTTCTAAATACAGCCATGATGATTCTGTAACGGATCTTATACGTTCTAACGGTTTTCACACACTTCAAATGCGGCGCAAAATATCCCGACTGAAGTTCCTTCATTCTTTGTTAAATCGTAAATTTTTTATAGATCCCAGTCCTTACATAACCCTTTCTGAGACTAGGAAAACCCGTCATTCCCATCCCGTCACACTCTCCCCTTATGTTGCCAGATCTAAACTCTTTGAATATTCTTTTTTTTCCCGCACCATAGAAGAATGGAACCTAATACCTATTGATCATCTGGACTCGACTAAATCAATATAGGATTACTTCTTCACTATTTCCTAACTATATTTTATTTAGACGGTTGTTTTTTATTGTTACCTGACTTGTTTATGATATTCAATTGTGCATTTTAGATGCACTTATGTTGTACCCTGCCCCTCCTGCATGGGCCACATGGCCTGCAGTATTTTGTAAATAAAATAATAAATAAAAAATATCATCAATCTATGTGTCCATAGCCGAATGCTCCAAGATTTCACTTGAAGTGCCTCTGACCCATCGAGTTCAAAGACGAGGCAGTCGTTTCTTTCTCGCCTTCACTGCCCTTCCTACAAGCGTTATCTCCTCCCCGCCACTTTATCCTTTATAGAACACGTGGAATGTCAGCCCTAAGCGTTAATACAGTCGCGATTTGTCACTTTTCGACTAGGCGCTGCTATCTCCCTTTGCGTAGAGTGCCATGGCATTTGCCCCAGTGTGATGTCCCGACAGGGCCACAACGATGGTTGTGGCTTTACGATGAACACGTTTTGCTATCAGCCACAAAAAAAAGATAACCGATGTGACTCTTTATCGCTGTCATGAACCGGTGCGAGGGAAGGGTATCGTTCGTACGCGAAACGTCAGGAAGCACTATAGAATCATCGTGCGCACTGGCGCGAGCGGGTTTGTCACGTGGTATTTTCCTGTATTTCGTGGGAGTGTTTAATTAGCAGGAAAACACTAATACTTGACAGTTATAAAGTTCAAAACTGTCCAATCAGACGTTTTGCAAACCGATCTACAACTTTCTTGTTGAATTTTTTATCCGTCTTCATTCCTTCAAAAGTTAGTTAAGTAAACAGATCTAATTGAACAATCTTTAACACAAAAAATAATTTGACTAAGTCCAGGCAGTGGTCAGCAGCATGCATTTGGTCAATTCGTAATTACATGAGTTGGCATACTTTTAAACTCCGGCGAAAGATAGCAGTGACACCCTGTAAAGCCATAAAGAAAGGCTTTTTTTTTATGCGTACGCATACATTCCGTACTTATCTGGCACAAAAGCCGTACAAATGCCACAATTTGTGTCATCCTGTAATTTCGTTCTCAATACGATTACGGCACCTCATGTCCTACTTTGTGACTGCCCCATGATTCGAATTTTAAAACCCTGAACGGAAAAGGAACGGGCATAAGCAGTCCCCTGCGAATTGGCTGCAAGACAGGAGGGCAAACAGTCCATTGGCGGTGGATGAGAGCCTAAGCCAAGCTCTTTAAAATAGCATCCCGGGCCAGAATCATGGGGGGGGGGGGGGTCTGTTTTTTATGATACAGTCCGGAAATAAGCCGACCCACCCCCTCTCCACGTATTCTCTCCGCTTATGCTTTAATGTTTCACAGCTTATTGGGCATATAAAAAAAAAGCCGTACGTATGTTATAGTTGAACGTACGAGATGTCGCGAAACGTATAGCGCAAGATAACGTCGCAAAAAGAGAAAAAAAAAAAGCTTGCGTAGCAACTGTACTTTTGAATTTGCGATGAATGCAGCTTCATTGCTGTGAAACCCGAAGAAAGTGCCATAGCACGGAAACTCATTGATTCCCATCCCTGGAGTCCCACACTCCTCCGTTCAGCAAATCGTCGGTATTTGAGGTAAGCATGTAGGGTTCCCACCGGCACGAGCACAATGTTGTTTGGGAGATTGAAAAACTCGGCGTGCACGCTACGACGGCCTGACCCCACGCGTCCGTTGCGACGCGTCATCTCGTGGTACACTCTAAAATTTTTGAAGAGGAACTGCGCAGTTACCCCCCGAAGGCGGCCTTTTGATCTATCTAAAGACGGAATTGTCATGGAAACTGGAAAGTCTTTGCAAATTTAGGTTATTGTTTTATGGCGTGATTATGTTTTACTTGTATAACTTATTACTATTGTTCTTGTGTCGCATTCTGACCGCCTTTTTTGTTTATTTGATGTTATTTTATGTAAGTTCACTGTTTACTTTTCACTTGTGTTGCGTATTTTACGTGCTGTTATAATTAATAATTTTATTGTTATTGTTAACTGAGGGTCCCACTGCAGTCGCTTGACTTTGGGACCCTCGTGTGCATACTACATTCTACGAATTTTGTATTTTGAATGAATGAATAAACTGAAAATGAAACTGAATGCGCGCAAAAGATTGCACACGGCACGGCAAAGAGGGGCACTTTCCTCCTTGTGAAGAAAAGCGCCCGTTTTTTAGTGTAACTGCAGAAATGTTCGCGCCGTGTGTAAACGACTCGTCAGTAACTATACACAAGCCTGTTTCCTTTCACACGGTGTTTCCTTTCACGTGTGTTTGCTGCACATTCCCCAAAATTCATTCCTGAATAGGATGCTTGCACATCGATTGTACATCTAATCAAATGCCAGCACGCACTTCGAAAGGCTGGTAAAGCCAACCAAAAACCTGATTTTTTCTTCTGCAAACTGTTGCTCTTTTAAAGGAGTAACGGCGAGAGCGTGGTGGCTCAATCGCAGTTACTCCCAAAATGGTGCGATGGGTGTGGCAAGTTAGTTACTTCTCTAAAAGAGCAACCTCGATACCCCTTATCCTCCTTTAGTCTTGGAGGCTACGCGAGGCTGCATGCGCGCCCGTCATAAATACACGCGCCGATGTGCTGCAAAGGGTATAAGTGGGGTCACGCATTTAGTTCTTACTGCGCCTTTTCGGCTTCCTGCTTGCTACGGCTATTGAAGTAAGCGTCGTCTGCAGCGATTTCTGTCTGGTCGTTTTTCTCGTCAAATCTGGCGACGAAGGCGCCGGTGGGAGGAACAATCGCGCGGTGGTGCCCTCTCTTGCGTGGCGCGTGCGGTCAGCCATATATTTGCGAAGAGTGCTTGGAGATTTTAAGTGAATTCTTGCAATTATTTCTTGGTTATTCGCGTTTATTAGGTTATTATACACCTTGTTCGTTTATTGTTCCCGGTTTTGCAGATTGCTAGCCTGGGTTTCAGCCTGTATTGACCACTTGAATTTAAAAGTGAACCCGTCACCTACACGGATATATGGGTGGCCTACAAACCGCTTTCAAATGCTACGCACTTAAAAATTGTTCTTCAAGCCGAAGAGATTGTTCTTCAGTCAGACTTTTAAAGGAGCACTACCTTCTTATCTTGTCTCGAAAGGTGATGCATTGCTAAATAAACTTCTCCAAGTGATTTAGCATAAGGCAAACTGTCCGTTGACGGCTACTGTGACAGAGGGGAACACCTCGCTATAGCATGCGGGCCAGTATTTGGAGAGACATTCGCAGTCTCTGAATCTCCAAGATCCCTACAGTGTTGTGAACTCGATCATCTCGTATACAGTTGAAGTCCAGTGTGTGTCCCATCGCTTCTTTGTCATTCGTCCGTTTGGCTGGTCCATTCTTTCAGCGTTACTCCCCAACTGACCCAGGCGTTAACCATATTTTCCCATCGTGAAACTGCGCACAAACCTGAGGAAATGTAGCGTCTCGACCTCCGTGTTGGGCACCGGAGTGCACGTGTCCGGCATGGAGCAGTTGCTGAGGATCGCCCGAGACCCGTCGCCAGCCGAGGTCGTCGTCATGTAGTAGCTGTTGAGCGGAACCAGCCAGAGGCCGTGGTGAGTGCCACCGAGACAAGACGGAACTGCGCAGCCCACCCCCAGGCCGTAGTCCAGTGTGTACGGAAAGAAAGGCAGCCCGTCCGGCGTCGTGCTGATGTACCTGTGCATTTGGTTACGAAATGCGGCGCTGTCACGAAAGCAAAAGCTGTCATATTGTCGCGGGGTGTTCCACCGCAGAAGACCGAATCCTGGCCGTAAAATGCTCCCACGCAAAGGGGCGTTAGGCTACACTTGTCGGTATATAGCCGCGTGGGGATAGCCAGGTGAGGCGGCGGCAACCTCTCTAATGAGGTTGTACTCACTCACTCACTCACTCACTCACTCACTCACTCACTCACTCACTCATACGGATTATACTATTTATTGGAAAAACTTGTCAAAATATTGACTCAAAGTACAAGCAATGTACGCTCTACACTGATAGCGGTGATCACATCGGTAGGACAGATTTGAGTGCACCTTAATGAACCCTAGATGGTCGAAATTCCCGGAGCCCTTCACTACGGCGTCTCTCGTAACCATATGGTGGGTTTGGGACATTAAACCCCACACATCAATCAATCAATCCTTTGGTAGTCTGATTGTTGGCTGAAGGCGTTGTTGTTTTTTTTTATGCGCAATTCGTGGAAATTTCCCACGCGATTTCTGGTACTCACGTTAGCGCTAAAATGAATTCAAGCGCTTGCGTGATGCGCTCAGACTTATCGATGTAGTCTAAAATATATGAGGAGGAGTCCCAAACTCCACGTTGCGCCCTGCAGCGCCACGAAGTGGTAAAAGCTTTTGTGCGCGAGACACAAAAATGAATAAGTGCGCGTGGCAATATAGCGCCAAAAGCCGCTACAAGCGGTTAAAGTGGACACATGTAGTGGGTTGCTGCAACTCGCATTTATTTTAGGAACGCTAATTTAAAATATACATGCACAAGAGAAGATATTTAGGCAGGACAACCACAATGACATGTATATATGAAAAATGGTTTTCTGCACACTGTATAATCTTTAATACGAGAGTGTTTCAAGCCGGGATCCATCAAGGGATATCTGAGGTCATTTCCGTGACGAAAATGACGTCAATTATTTCCGTCCCGGAACGGCGGCATGTGTGGGCATGCCACAGAAATCGGTCAAACGTTACTGCTTGGCACTGGTCCACTGACAATATAATTAAGTTTAATGCTTATTTGTCTTAAAAAAGAGAGTAGCTGTCACGAAAAGCTACTACAATAAACAACTTGAGATGACAGGCCCTTTCGAATGGTAGCTGCAGGTAGAAATAAACAAATATAGTAAAAAAAACATTCGCGCTGCGACATCCACGCCAAGGGAATCGAGATGAAAGTATTTCAAAGGAGAATACATAAGACACCTTTCTGCACATTTCATTAAAAAAACAGTGTCATGCCTGTATCGTAAGCTACACAACTTCGCTTCTCCTCTATCTTCACAGAGGATAACGGGTTGCGATTTTAATTTTATATTTTTTTCGTCTTTGCATAATTTCTCGCCTCTTTATTATCTCTGTATATTCGCTGAATGAACTTGTTCGGAACTTCTGTCAAGCTTCTTTTACTTCCGATGATAAACATTTACGCCTCGTACCGTTAACATTGAGCCTAGGCGCTTCTAAATTCCGTGCCGCTACACTCACTCGATGCAGACGGATGAGTCGTAGACGAATCCGTTCTGTCGCATCATTGTGTAAGCTGATCCGTTTCCGGATTCCAGGTAGGGCGCCCTCGCACCTACCATGTCCTCGTAGGGAATCAGCGCGTAGTCCCGCAGGAGGTCACGCGCGCCCACAAACTCGGCCTCCCAGCCGGCGACGTCCAAGGATCGCCAATAGGTCAGGTTGTCTCGGTGCCTGCGCATTCGCCATTCGTGGGAGTCCATTGCCGAGTCAGCTGGTGAATGAAAGATGGGGTTAAAGCACAGAACACCCACCAGTTAAGGCCTGACAACGCCTCCTCTATTTAGATGCCTGCCGCATGAAAAGGAAAACAGCTGTCACACCCTTTCTCTCCTTCATTTTAGAATGTTGTCGGTAGCTAGCGTCACCTGTGGCGGACGGTGCAACAACGCAACACTTTGCATAGCCTCCGAAACAGTAATGCACAGTTGCAGGTCTCGAACAACTCACGACTGACGCGCCCCTATGAGCCGCAGGTGAAAAACGCTTAGCTGGTACGCCCGCCGCCGTAATGACAGTGTCGGTCACGAGCGCCACCGCGCGGCGCTTGCTCAAAACTGAAGGCAGGCCAACTCCACTGGGAGCGCGAGCCATTCCTCAGGCATCTTTCTAGAGGAGGCGTTGGGCCTGACCGCACGTACGCGTCGCAGCGTCAGAGCATGACTTTCTGGTGCGCTGTCACACCCTCTCTCTAAATAGGGAGAGGACGCGACGTTGCGTCATAAAGCCACCCGCTGACGCGCTGCGACGCGTGCGTGTGGTCAGACCATTGCTTAAATTGTCAGTGTTTTACTACAGTGGTTTGCGAATACGTCGCAAGGGGAGAGAGCACGGTGCCTGCAAGTCTAGCAGTGATAATCACCTTATCGCTTGGTTTTCATTATTGCAAAGCTTGTTTTCCTTTGGACTCGACCAATATGGTGTGTGTGGTAGGTTCTGCTGCTTACTTTTGAGGTCAGCCATCCATAATGAAGAAACCCTTCACTCTCCTAGCGGGCCCATAGCCAGGGGGGAAGGGGTGCCCTTACGGGCCCGGCCTACCCCATTCAGAAAAAAAGATTTGGATGCAGGGGGCTGTTATATCGAAGTCAAATAATGAAATACGTGTTTTTTAATACTATCAACGCTTCACCTGAACAAAAAACTCCCAAGCATTTCCCCGAGGGTGAACATGGTTAAGTGCGAATACACGGGGTGATGCTATGAGGGGTATTTATTAATTCGCACTATTATATATATTAATCACACTATGGTGCCTTTATGGTGTAATGGTTCCCGGGAATCGCAATTTTATCACACGGGGGAGTTTACGTTAACTCACTGGCGAATTCCAACGGATTTTAACTTTACTCCCCCTCACGACCCGCTCTCGACGGGAGACTGAGAGAGAAGGCGGGCGCGCGAGAGAGAGGGGTGCGCGCGCAGCTGCAGCGAGCGAGGAGAGCGGAGGAGCGAGCGAAGGGGGAGGGGGCATAAGGCGCGTTACTGACACCGATATCAGCGTCGCGTCCGTGGCTTTTATTCGGTAGAGCGTCGCGCTGCGGCCCGCCAAGTCTTCTTTCTTTTAAAGATAGAGAGAAGACTGCGGACGCCGTCGACGGCGGTGGATGGTTTGGGGTCGCTTGTAAACTGTATTCACACTTAAAAATCCTGGCCACGGCCTGACTCCTATAAGAATATATGGTGATAATGCGCAGTGTGCAGTGGCAAACTCACGTGATGGAGTGGATAGCGATCTCACTGCCCACGCTGTGTAACTCGTGCACGAAGGAGTAGTCAGTGTGGCCCGCGGGGTGGTTTGCCGACACGAAGAACGTGGCGGCCACGTTGCACCCGTTGGCTCTGTTCCGGCGTTTCCCCGGTTCCAGCAGGTGGCGGTAGAAGCCCATGTTCTGCTCGTTGATTGCGTCATCGAACGTGAGCATGACGAACTGGGGCATGGCGCTGGCGTTCAGGTTTTCCGGGGGCTTCATGCTCATGCAGGCGCAGTTATCGCGCGAGCGACACTCGCTCGGGTCGCACGTGGTCGCGATAGATTCGGTCAAGAAGCTTTTCATGATGTGCAGTGCGATAAAGAGGTGGCCCCATGCGTACCTTGTCATGCCGATGTACAACTATCAATCAGTGCCAGACTGGAAAAAGGTAAGAGATAGGTTTGATTGGTTCCCATGTGCTATGTGGCTCGGTGGTGTTTATTTATTTATTTATTTACAGGTACCTTACAGGCTCTTGGTTAGGGCATTGAGTAAGGGGGGCTAACAAAGACATGTACAACAAGTAAAAGGGCGAAAGGTGCCAAAACGTAAGCTCGAGACATGAGTAACAAATAAACAAGAAATAAGTAAGTATAAATTGACATCATACATCGTTACCAAAAAACTAGAAAGATGCAGTTCATGGCACGCAGCAGTTAGGAAGTGTACAATACGTGTAAGTAAAATGGCACAGATTGTGGTATAATACACTGGGAAAATCATGAAAGCGCTTACAGGAAGTGTGAACAGTTCGTCCTAAGCAAACAAAAATAAAGCACAAAAAATAAGGGGGCTATAAGCGCATTAGAAAAAACTTTTTGCACAGCATTATGAATGTCATATACATTCAATAAGGTTTGGGTCGCAGGGAAATTGAATTGCCATTGAATTGAATTTTATTGGTCACACTTTTTACAAAAAATTTGCATACACTGCGTGGACCCATAGCCATAGGCTATTTTAAAAATTTTATAAAGGCACTTCGGAAAAGTGTAACTAAGAAAGTTATACAATATCAATAAAGAAACAACTAAAGTTTTACAATCTAATGTAATAAAGAATCGGCAAAGAAACATTACAGTGCATGAAATAACCGCACTAAACCGTTACATGCACGAGAGAACGAAAACGGAATAAACACCTACTTACATATTGAAATCAAGACAGTCATCAGACTAATTATGACAGGACATTAATAAATCAGTAAATTCTTCAAAATAGTGTTTTTCTAGTGCCTTAGTGAAATTTGAACACATTTTTATTTCAAAAGGAATAACATTCCAGATTTTAAATGTATCTGCAAGTTTTAAAAAACGTTGTCCTAATTGGATATTGTTAGAATTCTTAAACTCAGCCTCTCACAATGACGCGACGATACTCGACAACATATATCAACACAGGCAACAGATTTTTTTTCTGGGTTATAATTATCGTTTTTCAGTCAAGCTGAACATGCAGATCAGCGTCGTAAAGTGGCATCTGTGATCTCGCAGTAGACTTGGGGACGAGGTGACGTCATGAAAACGAGATCCAATCTTCTACGTGCTTACCATATGGTCCTATAGAAACTGCGTAACAACCTTGTCTCGAGACCACACAAGCTGTGCAGTGATACTACACTTGCCTGTAAACAATCACTAACGTTTGTAGCCTGTAACAGCATCTGTAGTGGTAATCCGAAGTGCAGACTCTAACGACGGTTCGCCGAGAGTTCGCTGTGTAGCCACCCTTGGAACAGCAACGGTCCAGCTGCTTGCAACAGCAGTTCTAAAGGAAATCGCTCGCGTCAGCAAGCTGCCGACCGAACAGAGACAACGCAGGTGCTGTTGCGGGTTTCCGAGGCGGTCTCGACAAGCCACGTCGAAGTCTGGCAGTATTTTTCTTTGAGATGGTGGTGACATTTTGACAACTGCTGCCACGTGTGAGCTCCGAACGCGAGATATCCAAAACATTTTTTTTTTTTTTTTGCGTGCATCTGTTAGTGGCAGTGCATCTACGGAGAAATCCATGTCCTGTACACAAGACTGCGCAAGGAGTACGAAACCCCCCGTCGCCAACAGCTGGCACAGTTTCGTTGTTAACCCGAGGGCATTGGTGTTTTCGAGCCCGGAGTTTGTGCATCACGCCGATAACTCCCAAACGAGATTCGTGGTGGAGTTACGAAGTGCGGTACACTTAGGGACCAAGGCTGTCGTCTCATGGCATATCGCAGCTTACGTCATCTGCCATGTGCCGTCACCTCCTGTCATCTTATGTCGTCGCTTGGCTTCTTTGTTGTGCGCATAAAAGCAGGCCAAATCGAGGCACACGTGAACACACATGGCGCCATGTGTGTCTATTCGAGAAAACTAATCTAAGAAAAAGTTCATTTCTCCATAATAAAATCCCCCATCTAATTTACAACCTTGCTTAAAGACGTGCAATAGCTCACTTGTTTAACGAAAACCAAATTATCATTGTTTTGGACCTATACATTTACAGGTTTTTACGCCATTATGACAACAACAACAATAACAACAAATAAAAATGTATATCCACTATCACATATATAGCTTCCATGAAACGTTGTCAACCAAAACACCGAGACCGTCACCAACGACCATGGATGCTTCCTGGTGCAGGAGATAGCTATGGACAACAGCTACAGTTACAGCTACCGTTACAATTAAACATATTGTGTCACTCAAGAGGAAGTTATATATAACAGCTGCATCTTACCGTTACCTATACATACGGAGCGTAAACGTGGAGGATTACAACTTAAGTTGAGGACGACGCAGTGAGCAATGAAAAGGAAAATGATAGATGTAACCCTAAGCGACAAGAAGAGAAAAGAGTGTATTAGAAAAAAAAAAACGGGTGTTAAAGACATAATTGTCGAAATAAAGAAGAAGAAATGATGATAGGCGGGGCACATAGCTCGAAGGCAAGATAACCGTTTGTCATTAAGGATCAAAGACTGGATTCCTAGCGAAGCCAAGCGCGGGTGAAGGGGAGTAAGGAAAGCGTGCCGATAAGATTAGGAAGTATGCGGGTACAAAGCGTCAGCAGTAAGCTCAGGGCCGAGTTGAGTTGAGGAACATGTGAGAGGCCTTTGTCCTGCAATAGGCGTAGTCAGGCTGATGATGATGATGATGACGACGACGATGATGATGGTGATGACGATGATGATGATTATTATTATTCCTCAGGTATTAAAGTGGCAGATATCGCCCTTTCTCAACTTCGCCAATATCTAATTAACACTCCTGGCATTTAAAACATTTCCTTCAAACTTCGTGGCTTAAGGGGAATTAAGGGGAAAAGGAATAAACAAAAACAAAAAGGAAGGAAATGCAACCACCACTGCGCGTTATATTGTGTTCAGTGCATTTGTGGTTTATATATTTAGACTTCTGATTTAGGCTTTTGTCAGCTGTTGTGTTGTCTTGCCGCCACTTAGACAAGAGGATGGTCGCTTTTATTCTCATCCCCTCTATTTACTTTGTATTGGTGTAAATAAAATTATTATTTATTATTATTATTATTATTATTATTATTATTATTATTATTATTATTCCTAAACATGTATTGTATGTGCGCTACGAGGAAATCTACCGAAGGTGTCTTCCCAAGCTCGCATCGCGTCCCTCATCCCTTGATTTCACGATTATAGCACATTGTATCATACAGTATAGCAAGGAGGAGGAAAGGCAAGTGAGGGTGGGGAGGTGAGAGAGGATCGAGAGAGTGGGATAACGCATAGCAGAGCTGTATGTGGTATAGTGCCAAGGGGATGAGAGAGGGCACTACTGCACTACAGGTTTCCCTTTCCCGCTACGGAGGCCGAGTAGGCTGCACGTCTGGAACACCTGCACGTGATTGCCCGCCAGCGCCGCCGATAGGCAGGTGAACCCTCTGCTCCGTACTTCCCACACAGCTTTCACGTTGAGTTAATTGGCATACATTTATTTTTTTCTTTTGTGTACGTTGGAACGCGTGCCGTGCTTTGCCTGCTTTTTCTTTCTGCAGTGCGGCGAATCTATAACGGTGCTGGCATGCATATATCATTTTTTTAGGAGCAAAGCTCCTTAAGGCGTGGGCTGTGCGTCCCCTGTATGTAGCCACCTCTCGTTCAGTTCTTGCAGTGTTCACTAGATGGCGGTATTTGTAGCTGATGGCATTAAGTATTACGCTAGCCACCGCCCGATCTAAAAGGTACAGCCATATCCATCCGTCCATCCGTCCATCCGTCCATCCGTCCGTCCGTCCGTCCATCCGTCCATCCATCCATCCATCCATCCATCCATCCATCCATCCATCCATCCATCCATCCATCCGTCCGTCCGTCCTTCCGTCCGTCCGTCCGTCCATCCATCCAAAAGATGCAAGATGTTATAAACTAGACGGCGGTACGTGTAGTTGATTATGAAAGATGCGAGGTGTTATAAAATAGGAATGATGCCACATATGGCGCGTGTCATCGTTCGATATAGTGCGGCGACGTACGCTAGGGGGAGCGTTGCAATAAAATCGAGTGGGCAAAATGTACGGAGGATTCATGGTTTACCAGGTTTACCTCCGGAGCTTCGCCCACTCATCATCATTCACTTCGTGGATGTGGCAGCACTTTTTTTCTTTTTCCCGAGAAAGTGACCATTATTGTTGCCTTTTCGCTTCGTTTGTAGCGTACACATACCGATGTGAACCGGCATATATGTGACTGTCCGCGTTCTCTCACGTTTTTTTTTTTTTTTTCGACGAAGAGTGCTTGCTATTCTTTCTTCACCTTTCTGCGTCTCCATCCAAATCGAATGTACACTTGCGGACCCCCCATCTCTGAAATGCCGGTTTCAACACCGAAACATCACATTATTTTTTTTATCTTTTTTCATTGTCTTAAAGCGCTCCTGCAATCTTCCTGCAGTGTCATAGGTGGCTGGAACAGTTCCAACCTATAGCCTTGAAGAGGACTAGTCCACTTGTCGAAACGCTGGCTCCAGCACACACACCCTGTTCACGGATTTTTTTTTCTTTCATCGGAGTCTTCCACATTCCCCTCCCTGTCATTTTAGGAGCGAGGCTCCGTCGAGGCTCGCCATCGTTCCTAGTCGAAGACCAGGCACGAAACACCTGTGCGAAATACACTGTCTTCAGAGCGTACACATATAGCGCGCATGTGGTTTAAACACATCCCATCTCTGGGGGGTTCGGCCAAGCTAGTTCTTGGCCAATCAAAGTTTAAATTTTGCTCACTCAAGACGCTAGATGTATCGACGAATAACGCAATTAACAATACAAATATAAAATAGAATATAATTGAAGCACTGAAACCGATCGAGAAGTCTTAAAAACAAAAAAAGAAGAAAATTGTAAAATGACCAGATTATTTTTTTGAAGTAGCAGCCTGCCCCGTCGTTTTCTTCCTTGCTTCCTGTTTCCCGCTGGCTGCTATCCAATTCGACATGCAGACACTAGCTCAGTTAATCGGCTTGGTATCAAATGCTAGCCGTTTAGCTTTCCCAGTATTTTATGTATGATCAATAAAAAAGGGTTACTAAATGTGCCAAAATGGAAGCACAATGTTGCCAAAAAGTAGCCGCGTCGCGACAACTTCAAGTACTTGTCGCCAGACGTAGTCGCAAAGGGGCCAATTTGGCGCAATCGTAGCCACCAATCGTAACTGTGGACCCATGGGTCCACTTTGATTAGACAGATGCTTGGGCTAGTTGGGGATTGGGAATCAACATATTTGCACAGCGCAAGACTACGAGTAGTTACGACGTAACTACAGAAGAAGAGACAGTGCTCTTTTTGTCCTTGTCTCTTCTTCTGTATAGTTACGCCGTAACTACTCCTACTCTAGCGCTGTGCAAATATGTTGATCCACTTTGATGCAATATCTCAATAGTTTTTATTTTATTTTTTATTTTATTTCAATACCCTCAGGGTCCGAGGGCATTACAGAGGGGAGTGGGTTACACAACATAATGAAAAAGCGGAAAACTGGTGGTTGCATGGATCAGTGAAGGAAACCAACAAGAAATAATGCACATTACAAGAACAAAAAACAGGTATTAAAGAACTACAAAGCTTAACAGGTCTACTGAAAATGAAAATACTATATTCCTAAAAATTATGGCGACAGGTTAGTTATAGCAGCCTTAAACATAGAGGTATTAGACATCTCGACTACAGATCGGGGAAGGTGATTCCAACTTGCTGACGTACGGGGGATGAATGAATTGTAAAAATGGTTGGTGTGGCATGTGGGAATGCCAACTTTATGACGATGGTCGGTGCGAGCGGATACGTAAGAAGAAGGGGTTATCAATTTATTCTGTGTATGCACTATAAAGGGGAAAAAATATTTTCCTCGTATTAGTAGTTAGTTTTTCACAATACGGAAAGCACAGCCGTTCCCTGGAGAAAACAACCGGTGAGCGAGAGAAAAAAAAGAAACACGTGGAAAAAAAAGTGCCAGTGGCGACGCCACCTTGAAGTTCCGGTACCAACCCTCTGTGACGTCATAAATTTTGACAGTATCCGCTCGGGCTTGAGTAGCCTATATTCGGTTAAAAAAAATGAAGCGCATTGTCTCCCGAGGGGGCCAGAGCATTATTCCGTGCCAAGTTTAAAGCAACATTTCTTCATGCATGGTGGTCAAAATATGCAATGTAAAGCTCTGAATTATATAAAATGCCGCTGACGTCCAGACACGCGCGCAGATTGAAGTGCGATATTTAAAAATGCGGCTTTTATCTTTCTGTTATTTTTATTAACAAGCCTACGACAGTAAACGCAATGGCAGTATATAT